GCGAGGCAACAGCCCATGCGGTACACGGTATTGGCCGACGCAGATTGATGAGCATAGACGCCTTTCGAAATATAGAAGTTCAACCAGCCACAATGATGCGCCAGACGACAGTTGAAGGCTACGCTATACGAGACCGGAAAGGTACAGCATTTGACGACGCAGACTATGCGAGAACGGAACGCACATATACAAATGTGTCGAGCCTCTGAGTTATTATGACACTTCACTTTGACACTACGACATTTCACGCAGGGATATTTGCGGCTGTTAGGAGACTTTACCGTGGAACTACAAAGCAAAACATTGCACACTTAAAATGACCAGAATGTTGGCACTCTTACGATATTGGGAACGAGTGTATAGCCGGTAAGGCTCAGGGATTGCCTGAAGACGATCTCACGAGCCCTCAAAATACAATGTTCAGGCCCGAAATACAGGCTTGGAAGCCCGCGCTGGAACCCGCGGCCCGCAAAACACCTGGCATTCACGGGAGACGCGGTCACGTGAGAGAACAGCCTGTCCTGCCACACATGACCGCTGCAGACGCAGGTTGTCCTGACCCGCACCCTCAGATTACACTCACCGCCGCCGAGGCGGCCACAGCAGAGCGGCCAGGCCGGTCAGCAGCAGGGAGAGCTTCATGGTGGAGTGGGCCCCGTGCTGCTGGCGCGCACGGGACTTTATGCGCCAGGACTCGGCTGTGCTCCGGAACATGACGCCGCCGGGCGCCGGACGCCGACGCGCTGGCCGGACCTCCTCGCGTTCACGTCCCTCATGACGGGCGGCGGTCGGGAGTTCCGGCGATATAAACGGCGCCGGATTGACGCCGCCGATTGGAACGCACCCGCATGAGATGCCGGTTGTTGTCCGGCGACGATGCGGACAACGCTGGGAGGAAACTGCCGCGCAGGGAAAAACATAACGAACGCTGCCTCTTCAAGCAAGCGGCGTGAGTTCGGCGCCCGCCGGGTGGAACGACGACTTTGTTACCGGGCCGGGGTCGTGTGGTGTTTTGGCGTAATTTTGGGCTGTTGCGCCGGCGGTGCGTATTTACGCTGGGTGCGGCGGCCTGGCGTGACTGGTTAGGTCGGGCCCCAGTGAGCCGAAGCCGATCGGTAAGAGGTTTCCGAGTGCCGACTTGTCTCGCACGCCCTGACCTCTGACCTTGACCTGACGCGGTCGCGGTGGGAGTATCACTCGTCCTGGCGCGATGCTTCTGCCGCCACGTTTAGAGGCTCTAGGGGGGGCATTAGAGACACACTAGCTATTTATAACATCCATAAAGCATGGATGGTGAGCTGCTCATTTGGGCGGGAGCTTTTGGAAACGTATGGGTATGCACGATGGTCGTAAGCATGTGTACGGATGTCAGAAAATGCCTGGTGCATGCTTCAAGAATGCTATAGCATACCACTAGTTTGCTTTCTTTTGTGATAAGTGGTGACGCTCCCCCGACTTCTGGAAGCATCAAAGCATTCCGGTCAATCTATACGTAGAGGCTTTCCAGAGTCTGTTTCTATAACAACACTTTGAAAACCCCGGGCCGGCGGGTAGCTGCTACAGTGAGCACTGGGCATGTCGCTGTTTCTGAAACATTGGGTTTTGGCAAAGAAGCCCATTCCCGTGAACGTTTCACCGCGGCGGGAGTGACCAGCGCAGCACGAGCTGCCGCGTCGGTCCAGCCTAGGGCAGCCGATGGTGCGTGTCGGCCGGCCCAGTGCCGCCGGAGCTGCCGATCACCGCTGACGCGTCCGAGCCGGGCCGCGCTTGGTCTGCGCTTACCCCGCGGCGTCGCTCTGGCCAGCTGAACACGGCCCCGGGCCGGCACTGCAAGGTCCGGGCGGTGGACCAGCACGAGCGGTGGCGCGGACAGCGGCCCCAATACGTCACACGATCCCTTGGAAATGTTTCACGGGGCCAGCCGAGGCCTGAAAGTTTCGTTGAAATCTACAATCAAAGTTTTTGTCTAGAAAGTCGTTTTCGGGTACAGATGCAGACATGTCGCGAAAAGTGAGGGCACTTTCCACGCATCACATCCCCATAGGTTACTTTATTTGGCACGACAATTTACAAAATACAGATGCACCTCAATCCCAATATCTTTGGGGGGGATCAAGCCCCGTGCTCAGAACGCTGAGCCGCGCGTTCCGTGTGAGTAAATGTCACCCGGCGTGGGCCAAAGTTGACAAAGGGTTCGTCCATAGTAGGTCAAAGGATACACACTTATTTTGTTTGTACCCTGTTCACATTTGGGAGTCCTGTTTGGAGGTCTCAGCGACCTGTGTCGTTACCTAACATGGGGGGGGGGGGGCGGTCAGTCGTAGCAAGGAGGGGACACCGGAATGACAAAGAGCCTTTGCTGCAGGTCCCTCCCCAAAAACTTTATTTCGAGACGGTCTAATTTTCTTCGCTTTTTCTTTCGTCTTTGGTTTTGAAATTTTCTTTGTTTTTTGTTAAGTGCATTTCTTGTTGTCGTTAATTGACAGAGAAGCTAGAAGGCACTAGAAGATGTGGTTCTGCTTGCAAGGTGAGGTGACTGAGGTGAATTGCATCATGCCCAAGTAATATCAGGGTAATTTATGCCAAATCTATGCGACGGATGGCAGTCTGGAGTCTCTCAGCACAGCAACTCACTCTTCCTTTCAGCGCACTTCCGACAGCATGCGTGCACACATATTGGGGTAAATGCGAAAGATTTGCCTTTTCCGCATCGTTGAAAACAACAGCGATCGATGTGACTGTGTGCTTGACGGCTTACGGCATAACTAAGCCAATCTGAATACTATTTTGGCACTTGGTAGCCAAGGATTTCAGGGAGATACAAACTTCTTTCCAAGATGGTGGATGGTACATGTTGTATCATCTGTACATGGGGCATGTTCCATCCTTGATACGATGTGCCGACACTATGTTAAGAGCTAACTCACTACCAATCACTGATTTACATGATTTCATGGCTTATTAGCATCTAGACAAGTCGGCGTTCACATTACCTATGTCGATCCATAATTTCCACCTGAGGTACTGAAACCGAGGGGCAAGCAGTCTTAAAATTGATAGAAAGGGCAAACAATGTCATGTTGCAACCATGACAAATTACAAAATGGCGCAGACGTGCGCATTTGGTCTACACGTTGTAGCGCATTCAGCTTGTGATGCAACTTGCTCTGTAAAAAACACATTAGCACACCTTCCACCACTATATGATACAATTTACTCCTGGTTGAGTACATTGTCTCATTTAATAGAGTGCCAATCAGAAGTCATTTGCGAAAAAAAGCTAAGGCATGCTACTTAAAACTTAACATCTGCATATGAAGCTGAAGGTCATAGCTGGCTACAGATATAAGAGTCTCAGTCCCATCCTCAGTAGTTTTTGCAGGAGCAAGTTCAGAGTAAAAACCGATGCAAGAGTAAATAAAATGAAGGACCCTGATATGAGAATGCATCGCATAAACCATTATGGGCACGGCAGTAGCAAGTCAAGGGCGTTGCCAGGATTTGTCGGAGTTCTACAGGCATTACAGAGCGAGCTTGTGGATGCAGCATCAGCCTCGACTGAAAGGGGTAAAAAACAACAATGCCAACCCATGTTCGCCTGGGAAGCATGGGATGACATTTTTTTAGTTTGAAAAGATGAGTAGAAAATGAGCAGACGAGTTTTGGGCATGGCGCTTGCAATCATTAGTTACAAAAACGACGACGTCCGGCTCCGGGCTTCCTATAGGAAGAATGCAACGCCGGGCGCTGGCTTCGCAGCTAACACCAGGCGACGGCCAACGTGCGGACGAAAACCTAGGAAAAGGACTTTCGAACGCTTTACGAAATCAGTTGGTAGGAGCAGAACGTAAATTTCACCGATGGGGGAGGGTAGATTTTACCGATGTAAGTTTCAGACTGGTTCTCGAAGCGAATCTGCATTCGTAGTACCATGCGAACACTTTATATAATGGCGGAATCTCTATCGTACGTGTTGGTATGGCTGCTAATCCATTGGGATCAAAATCAAAATGACATCGGTGAAATAAACCCCCCTTTTAAAGGGTACAGTGTGATCTTAAAGGAAATCGAAACGCTGTTTTCCGACGCACGGTCATTCTCACACAGCCACCGCCCGCCGTCCGGTGCTACCTGTGGGGCCGACTGCAACGCCGGACATCGGTGTTCTTGTTTCGAAATATTACGAGCGCGCATGCTCAACACTGTTTTATATCATTTTGCACGTCTTGATTCTGAAAAAGAGTGTACGTTCTCGGCGAAACACGTGTTGCCAGTGTCACTACAATGTTCTGGCCCAATTTCGTTTTACCGCATCGAACATTAAATAAGGACACTTCATACACCGTTTCCCTCCCTAATGCAGCAGGCCATTAAGTGGGGCAGCTAGCCACAGCTTGACTCAGGGCTCCGAACTGACGCCAAATGATCCCCTAACGATGCACAGGGTCTAGCAACTGGCACAGGGATTCTCAGTTCGCCCTATCGGTCCCTGGCTGAAGCGCGCTGGAAGGGTCTCAGTTCATTACTAGGGCGCCTGACCGCCTCAGGACCTCCCATTATTACATTGAGGGTCTTTCCATCGCCATTTGGCTCATCTAATTGCATTGCCGGAGGCAAGACCAGGAATATCCTGGTATTCGGGGTCCTGTCCCTGTCTCTGTTTGACAAATGCGTCCCTCACCGACTTGGGCCCTTTGCCGACACATAATCATCTGTTATGCACTGTGAGACCCTGTCCTACACGGAGAGTCCCTTATTGCTTCAGGGGCTGACCAATGAATGGAAGAGACCCTCAGTGGCAATTCCGGGCCCAGCCCCCTTTCTGCTCGCGAGACGGGCTCCAGAAGCCAGACCGACACGGAACCGTCTGTCCGGTATTGGTGGTCTCTGGCGGACATAGAGGCCCTCAACGTCCGACAGGGCCGCGATCGGCACCAAAGGCCCCCTGACTGACATTTGGGTATCCGGCCCTACGGGCTGGCAGTCCATTTATACGACCTCTGGGCTCTTCGGGGTATCCAGGTGAGTCAGTGATCGGTCCCAAGACGTCCCTCGGGACCCAACGAGGGCACGTGCTCCCTATGCTCCCCTGCCCGCGCCCCTGCTTGAGTATCGGTTTGGGATAATATGGTCACCCGCAGCAGCGGACTGAAAGGGAACCATGCTGGCCATGCCAGCCTGGAGGCTATGCAGGCCTCTGCTGGAGGCTGCAGGGCTCTCTTAGTGCCTGTGAGAGTTCCATGGGATCGAAGGCCCGGCATTTTCCCTCTTAGTAATGCAAGGTGCCTCAAAAACACACAAATTAGCGGGGCAGCGGTCTGGGCAAAAAATGGGCCACCAGGACGCCGGAACGGGTCTCTTGAGCCGTAGGAGAGACCGAAACCTTGAAGTGCGGCCTTTTGAGCCCCGACATGGGTTCTGCTGGCAATCAGGGCCTCTTGATCCGATCTGCCTCCTTTCCACACAGCATCCTCAGTATGTCAGTGGGCGTCGCACGGGTGCGCTGCAGCGCCAAAAAGAGCTCGGTAGGGCCCTCAGAGCTCGACAGTGTCACCTCCAAGGACGGTGGCAGGACGTGCTTAGGTACGGATCAGGGGCCCCAGCGCATCCTCAGGTACGGACCAGGGGCCCCAGCGCATCGTCAGGTACGGATCAGGGGCCCAAGTGCATCCTTAGGTACGGATCAGGGGCCCCAGCGCATCCTTAGGTACGGACCGGGGGCCCCAGCGCATCCTTAGGTACGGATCAGGGGCCCCAGCGCATCCTTAGGCACGGATCAGGGGCCCCAGCGCATCCTCAGATACGCCGCTTTTGCCCCTTCAATGGCTCCCATCATAGGAGTCGCCACGCATATGCAGCTAACGTTCAACCTCAAGACGAATGACACTAAATCAAAACTTTTCCCAAGCTTGGAGAAAGAGGACAAATCTTGCAATTTTTCCAACCACGTACATTTTTCTCCCTAGCTCAATTTTTGCTTACTCAGCCCAAAACTACTGGCGACTCCGCCAGGCCCCTTCCCCGATGACTTCAGATTGTAGCATTTAACCTACAGCAAAACCCGGTGAACATTTCCTCAAAAACTACGACACTTCTGGGAGGTCCGGATGTGAGCATGGCGTGACGGATGCCGCTCACCACTGACAAACCTTCTGAGAGGTCCGGGCGTGAGCATGGCGTGACGGATGCCGCCTACCACTGACAAACTTTCTGAGAGGTCTGGACGCGAGCATGGCGTGACGGATGCCGCCTACCACTGACAAACCTTCTGAGAGGTCCGGACGTGAGCATGGCGTGACGATACCGCTCACACTGACAAACCTTCTGAGGTCCGGACGCGAGCATGGCGTGACGGATGCCGCCTACCACTGACAAACCTTCTGAGAGGTCCGGGCGTGAGCATGGCGTGACGGATGCCGCTCACCATGACAAACCTTCTGAGAGGTCCGGACGTGAGCATGGCGTGACAGATGCCGCTCACCAATGACAAACCTTCTGGGAGGTCCGGACGTGAGCATGGCGTGACGGATGCCGCCCACCACTGACAAACCTTCTGAGAGGTCCGGGCGTGAGCGTGGCGTGACGGATGCCGCTCATCACTGACAAACCTTCTGAGGGGTCCGGACGTGAGCATGGCGTGACGGATGCCGCCTGCCACTGACAAACTTCTGAGAGGTCCGGGCGTGAGCAT